AACGAAATGTATCAGACGAGTAATGCCGAGTGCTGGGGTAAAACAAACACATGGGTCGCCAGCGCTCGGAGAACGAGCGACACTTCTGTCACAAGTTCATGTTGACGTCCATTGTTTCTTTGTTACAGACTGGGTAAACAGTGACCACTCGTCTCACATACGATTTGTGTATGAGTTCTGGGCGGGGTTTCTGGGTTATGAGGGATCACACGCTTACCTCACCAGCAGCTGAACATTGGTACCTATTGGTCAACAGTGGGAGAGGCCTATGCAACATGATCGGGTGGAGGGACTATCTGACAACAATGACAGGTGATTGGATTATGACGGCTCGCCCTCAAAGCCAGGGGCCAATGCACAATTTATTACAAAACGCAATGGAGTCACTGAGGTGGACTTCTAAGACAGGTGTTATAATTTAGTGTGATATGGTTTGTGTGATAAAATATGGTGGCCGCGGCTATGTCGGACAAGTGCCAGTTTTACAAAGTTAAATTATATAGAAAAAACGCTAGGGGGGAAATGGAAAGAGGCCATTTGTACTGGTGGCCGTCTTATAGAGTTGGCCGTCAGGGCAGGTTCGACTGTACACAGACGATTGGGGACTGTCGCTGTATGTAGATTGGCCACTAAGCTGTCCAACTAAGAGCTGGCATTGTATTTATAGGCCACAGAGGGTATGGAAGTAGGAGGGGCTGACTTCTCAAGACAGTCTATCTTGTGACCTAAAGCAAAAGCAACACCAAAACTAACAACAGTCTTCGCCGGCGACAGGAGACCAGCATGTTAGATGGACAAAACAGTGCTGTCCCGGCGGTTTTATACAAAAATAATTCTGAAATTATACAAATTGAGCCAAAAAATGTGAAATTATGCTATTCTGTTAATTTTAACGAAAAATGATCATAGGACAAAAAATCAGAAATTATGCAAATAAAAGATCAAATTTTGCTAAATTATGCGGGGTGCTTATAACCACGGGGGACAGACAGTGTCAGAAAACCCAAGCTAACAATCTATCCTTTGAATCGTATTTATGGACGTCGAATGACATAATATGTCTGGCTTACGAGTGCTGTGTTTCCTTCCTTGTGTTTTGTTCACATCTTTATTCATTTAGAACATGTTTGTTTCTGTTCCAACTCCGTTTTACGTCTATTTATGAAACAAGTTAGGTTAGGAACTAACCTTTTTCGGTCACAACTTTTCGAAAAAAACACATAATTTTTTTTTCCAGTGGGCACCAAATTCTGCCGTCGTAAGGGAAAATGACGAATGGTCCTGCGCAGGTAGCGAGGCAAATTTTTCAAGAGAGGCAAAAACTGTTTTCACTTTATAACTCTTCTATTTTTCACTCTTTTAAGCTGTAATTCACCAGACATCTGATTGAGGTGTTCATAAAGCAGTTTCTAAAGTTTGAATGGTTTAGGTTAAAAAGTAGCAAAGTTATTCGACATTCGTCGTTCTCCTATTACACTGCGCACCGACAGGAGAGCTAGCGATGTAAACAAAAACGACGAATGGTACGGTTCGTCGTTCTCCCTTACACTAGTGAACGTTTATGAGGCGATGGTCAATTGTGACGCATTATTGACAGTAATGACTGTGTACTGGTTAATACAAATAAAAACAAGACGTATACAAACTAGCACGTATAAAGTTAGATGTTTGTTAAATCCCAACTGTAACTCGGTAAACATCCTTTGTTTCCCTTTCTCGCTTGGTTAAATACTACACAGTCAGTGTACAAATCAGATGTGCACACATTTTCAACAGCTTGATTTAATTAAAACTGTTTCATTCAGAACCAAGGTTTGGTCTCCACGATATCTCTTTATTGTATTCTCTTCAGAAGCGAGTTTTACTTTTATTTTTTGCTAATTGCAAAATTTTCCCTGCACGGCCAAAGGGATCACCAATGTTACAATGTCAATAATACGATAAGATCGTTGCAAGGTCGAACAAACTTTCACGTGAGAAATATAACAATCTGAAAAGACTGTATCACAATCGCTTTCAGGAGAGGTAATGCAACGCTTTGTATTTAATAAAGGATTATGGACAGTTTGAATCTGCAAGACATTATTATACTCGATCGTAACGTCCATCAAGTCATAAAAAATCGTAAAGCAAGACTAAGTGTCGCCACAATACGTCCACTTTTTAAGTTGGACAAAGAAATGTACTCTTATAACGCAGTGTCATTAATTGTTTGGTAATTCTATAATGATGTCCACCAGTGACACGTGTTAGACAAATTGTGGCACTAAAACCATCGTTGGGATTTGGAATGCCAAATGACTGGACAGCAAACTAACATGACGTTAGTCTGTGAACATCTGGCGGACACTAATATGCAGTGCTAATAAATTTCTCCCTAAATGCTTTTTTGACCCTCCCATCTCCACCCCTTTCCCCCTGTTCCCATTCGTTTTCCCCTCTCTCCCGCCTGCTCTTGTCAATTCACACCATCAGCATAGACCTAATACGGGAAGACAGA